GGACCCCAAATGGTTCGTGCAAGGAATAATTCGATCTACAAAGCGGAAGGAACAAAGGAATGAAGTTTCTAGTAGATCTAATAGGAATCGTAAAGTTTATGCGGCTCAACAAGTCAGGGCTATCTACGTCACCCTTGATCAGGTTGTGCATAAAAATCACACCAAGCATTTTTCTACGACTAACTAAGGTCGGAAGGTTTATTACAAGCAATCTACGAGGATAAGATGGCAGTCTCACACCTACATCCCAGTTAAGGCCACGCAGAGAAAAAAGTAGAAAAATTTTCTGGACTGATGCTATTCGGTCCTGGTGTACTTTGTACTGGGGGCACCATACACAAGAGCCGTACTCTAAAATCGTACGAACAAGCGAAATGTAGAGAGTCTTTGTTATATAGGGGTCGTCAAATTCCTTTGACCACCTCTTTATAAACCCAAGCACACCCATGGCCTTATTTACCATGGTAGAAATGTGTTCAGAAAACTTTAACTTTGAGTCTAATTTAACACCAAGATCATCAACCAGGGTAATTCTCTCAAGAGAACCACCGAAGAGGCTATAAGGAGCCAAAAGGGGGCTGGAGCGATGAAATGTCATTACTTTGCATTTCGAGGCATTTAGGTGTAACATATTTGCACAACACCATGACTGAAAGTTATTGAGATCGGATTGCAAGCGAGAGTGAAATGAAATTTCCTTATACTGGACGCAGAGTTTAACATCATCCGCATACATGAGTACTCGAGACTTTGTTAATACTAAAGGCAGGTCATTAATAAAGAGTGTGAATAGTAAGGGGCCTAGATGTCTGCTTTTTGGTACTCCAGAAGTAACCTTAACAGGTGAAGAGAAGGAGTTTTTTAAGAGGACTGTGAGGAATGGAGTTTCCTCACAAGGGAACCAAGTAAGGGTTAAGGCGAGAATTCACGGCAAATTCACAAGAGAGTGAGAGCCGGGGTCCGTTAGAGTGGCAGGGCTCCAGTGCATGACCAGATATGGGCATGAGAGTATGCCTCCGGTACGAGCCCGTGGAGGGAGTCGGGAATGGAGGAGCCCGCAAGGAGCGGCGCTCACGTCAGGCTAGGAACGGCGGGAGCGGGCCGGCAGCGGTCCAGCGCATGACCATGTATGGACATGAGATCGCGCCACCAGCCCGGTCCCGTTAAGAACGTGAGGGAATCAGGCGAAGAGGCCGATGGCAGCGGTCCAGCGCATGTCCATGTATGGACATGAGATCACGCCACCAGCCCGGTCCCGTTAAGAACGGGAGGGAATCAAGCGAAGAGGCCGATGGAAAAGTACCAGCGGCGCACGGATTTACCGCTGTTGATAGGCAGAGGCGCGGACGCTAGCGTCGAAGCGAGGGTATAAGAGGAGCCCGGCAACAGTGAAGGAGGACAGTCAGTGGAGTGCGAGCAGCGAGGAAAAAGCGTGAACACAAGCGAGTGCGTGAGGACAACTGACAAGGAAAGTCGACGTGAGAGGCAAAGGAAGAACCAAAGTGACCCATCCAAGAGGCAGCAGTACGACCCGGCAAAGGGAACAAGGTCTGCGAGGTGCCAGAGGAAGGACGACAGGTACCGCTTCCGCAAAGGCGATCAAAAGCGACTCAGTGGGTGCGGAGTTGTGTGTGTAGATCAGGCGTGAGCCAGGTCGGACGCATAGCCACAGCACCAGCGAGGAGCCTGAGACGAGAGCGAGAGAGCGTGTGAAACTGAAGAACGATCCATTTGTTGTATAGAACGTAAGATCCCATAAGTATAAGATACCAATAAAACATCCAAAACCAGTAATTAAACCCACCCGTGCATTCTTTCGTGTCTGTGAGGCAACATACAAATTTGTTGCAACGAACCGTCGGCCGCTGAGCCAGCCTCGCTGAGTTAGACGGACCGAAACAGTTCGTTACAACTGGCGCCCAACGTGGGGCCTCACGACAAGCAAAGAAAGGAGTGCATCGGGAAGGGCGGTACTGAAGGGATCTATACACCATGAGGGGATTGTTCCAATGGAAAGTGATGCCGTTCGGGCTACATTCGGCCTCGGCCACGTTTCAGAGGGCGTTGGACCAGGTTATTGGTCCGGAAATGATGCCGCATGCTTTCGCATACCAAGACGATATCATCGTTATAGGCCGAACGAAAGAGGAGCACCAACGTAATCTGGAGGAGGTGTTCCGACGCTTAAAAAGGGCCAACTTAAGGTTGAATGTGGAAAAATGCCAGTTCGGCCGAAGGGAGCTGCGGTACCTGGGGCATTTGGTGACAGGGGAAGGCATCTGCACTGATCCGGAAAAGGTGGCCGCCATCGCAGAGCTGAAGCCACCGGCGAACGTGAAAGAGCTTCGCCAGTACCTGGGCGTCGCCTCATGGTACCGACGATTCGTGCCAGGATTCGCCACCATGGTACAGCCGCTTAGCACATTGCTGAAGAAAAAGGTGAAGTGGGAATGGGCATCAGAGCAACAACAGGCATTTGAGTCCGTGAAGGGTCGGCTGGTAGCCGATCCGGTGCTAACTTGCCCGGATTTCTCGAAGAAGTTTGTGCTACAGACGGACGCCAGCGACTATGGATTGGGAGCGATTCTCACCCAAGAAACGGAGAAGGGCGAAAGGGTGATCTCATACGCCAGCCGAACGCTGAACAGTGCGGAGAAGAATTACTCGGCTACAGAGAAGGAATGCCTGGCAATTGTGTGGGCCATCAGGAAGCTCAAACCCTATTTGGAAGGGTATCACTTCAAGGTGGTCACCGACCACATGGCATTGAAGTGGCTCAACAGCATAGAGAGCCCGACGGGGAGAATCGCAAGATGGGCGCTAGAGTTACAGCAATACGACTTCGAAATAGCGTATAGGAAGGGGAAGCAGAACGTGGTGGCTGACGCGCTATCCCGACAGCCCATGGAAGAGCGATGTATGCAAGCGGAGGACGTTGGACAGGAGTCCGAAGAGCAATGCTCATGGATAAAGAAGGTCAAGGAGAAGATGAGAAGGGAGCCGGCCAAGTTCCCAGATTATGTGGAGGAGGCAGGCGGGGTGTACCGGCATATCCCGCACCGGGCCGGCGACGAAGAAGTAGTAGCTTGGAAGCTTTGCGTGCCGAAGGATCGGCGGGAGCGGGTCATGAGGGAGAACCACGATATCCCGGAGGCGGGTCACGCCGGCGGCAGGAAAATGATGGCAAGGATAGCTGCCAGGTACTACTGGCCGGGGATGCACCGAGACGTGAGGACGTATGTCAGGAAATGTGACACCTGCATGCGTTTCAAACCAAGTCAGGCACAGGCGGCCGGGAAGATGCTGACACAAGTACCAGAGGAACCATGGGCGACGGTGTGCGCGGATTTTGTGGGACCATTGCCCAGATCAAAACACGGCAACGCCATGCTGTTGGTGCTGGTGGACCGGTTTTCAAAATGGACCGAGCTGGTGCCAATGAGAAAGGCCACGGCAGAAGCCCTGATAAAGGCTTTCAGAGAAAGAATATTGGCCCGGTTCGGCGTACCCAAGGTGATGATCACCGACAATGGGGTACAATTCACCAGTCGGGCGTTTAAAAAGTTTCTGGATCAGATGGGAGTTCGACACCAGTTTACGGCACCGTACACGCCGCAAGAAAACCCGACGGAACGCACCAACAGAACGGTGAAAACCATGATCGCGCAGTTCACCGAAGGGGACCAGAGATGCTGGGACGAGAAGTGGCCCGAGTTAATGCTGGCCGTGAACTCTGGGGTCACTGAGTCCACTGGATTCGCACCAGCATTCATAGTGCAAGGGAGAGAGCCCAGGCTGCCGAAGGCGTTGTACGATGAGGAAACACTCGGCACGGGTCAGGAGACAAACACTCCGGATGAGCATGCGGTAAAGCTGAAAGAACTTTTTCAGCTGGTGAGGCGGAATTTGGAAAGAGCAGCCCAGGATCAGGCAAGGTATTACAACTTGCGAAAGAGAGCTTGGAAGCCCAAGGTCGGTGAAAAGGTGTGGGTTAAACAGCACCACCTGTCTAACGCAGCCGAGGGGTTCGCAGCAAAATTGGCCCCAAAGTATGCCGGTCCCTACCAGATCACTGATTTCGTATCACCGGTGATATGCAAGCTGCGTAAAGACGGCGATAGGCATACACGGACGGCACATATTGGGGATCTGAAGCCACAGGCAAACGACGAAGGAAAATAAGGAGTCAGAAACGGGTGGAGCGATCCAGAAGCCAAAGGCGTTCGGCTGACCGAGACCCGGGCGGAGAGATACCCTCGGGGGTCCAGTGAAGTGGGAGTGATACTCCGGGTCCTGGGGTCCAGTGTGCCTGGGTCATCTACAGCCGTCGGGCTTGGCTGGGCAGAAGACACTACCCATGCGTTGCTGACGGGCGAGGAGTCGGATGATCCTCGGGTCCGAAGCAGCTGCGTGGGGCAGAGGTCACGCCAAAGGTCAAGCCGGAGGCGGCAATGAGGTGACGAGCCAGGGCCGATCGTCATATTGCAGCCAGGCGAAAGGTCGGAGGACCTGTTAGTCAGGGGCAGGTGTGACGATTGGCATCACGGATCAAGGATGCAAGATGGGCTGGAAAAGAAGCCAGAGTCATTAAAGGATAGCGCACATTCACAGTACTCACATGGGCCGAAGGGGGTGTCGATCAGTCGGGGGGAGAGGGGAAGCCGGGCGGCAAGGCCTAAGAAAAAAAAAGGAAAAAAAAGGAAAATATATTTTTAAAGCTCTTCAAACAAAAGGGGGTGGGATCAGGTATGATCGGGTGCGAGCAGACCCCCACCGGCCGCGGAAGGGTTAACGCGGCGAAGAGCCCAATGCTGAGAGGCAGGAACCGTCGAGAGAGCGGGAGAAGGAATGCCCAACTACCGTACGACGGAACGACGGGAAAAACAGCAAGGGCTCGACGGCGGCAGAGGCTGGAGCTGTCGATCAGTCACGAGCCAGAGGTAGACGGAAACGCAAGCGCGGACTTTAAAAGAGAAAAAAAAAAAGGGAAGAAAATCGCCATGTTGGAATTTTACTTGGAGGAACAAGCCAGAAGTGTGGGGAGCCGCAATCCCGAGATCCAGCGCCAGCGACGGGCGGAGCCCTCGCGAGGTGAGCGATGCGATCGGCGGAGCGAGACTCCAGAGTTGGAGCTAATGGCGTCCCCATTCACAAGCCCCATGGCATCCCCAAGGAGCGAGTGGTCCTCGTGGGCGTCTCCTCGGAGCAGACGGGAGCCGGAAGTGTCGCCAGGAGCAACGGAGGAGGAGGACAGCGACGGCAGCGACGTGGTGGTGGTCTCCGTCGAGCCGGCTCCGAGGAGAGCCGAGCTCCGGAGATGGCAGCTCAACGACGAGGAGGAGCGGGCACGGGAGCAGGAGCTGCGACGCGACGCAGCGTTCCTCGGCATCGCCATCCGATCGGCGGAGCGCTATTTGCGTGAGCGGAAGCGCGAAACTGCAGGGCAACGGGAGCCGAAGCAGCCGTTGAAAACCAGGCCGCCAGCGACGCCATCGCAGCCGACGTCAAGGCCAGCAGCAGCGCAGCAGGGACGGACGGCAGAGGTACCGTTGCAACGGAGAGCGCAGGCCTCAGCACACCCGACAGCGCGGCCGCCAGCGACGCCAGCGGCGCAGCCACCAGCGACGTCAGCAGCGCAGCCACCAGCGACGTCAGCAGCGCAGCCGCCAGCGACGACAGCGGCGCAGCCACCAGCGACGCCAGCAGCGCAGCCACCAGCGACGCCAGCAGCGCAGCCGCCAGCGACCCCAGCAGCGCGGCCAACAGCCGAGGCCGTGCGGAGGAGCCAGATGGAGCAGCAGCGCAATCGGCCAGCAGCAGCAGAGGCGCGACGCGAGGAGGAGCGGCGACGCGAGGAGGGACGGCGACGCGAGGAGGGACGGCGACGCGAGGAGGAGCGGCGACGCGAAGAGGGGCGACGACGCGAGGACGAGCGGCGACGCGAGGAGGAGCGACGACGCGAAGAGGAGCGGTGACATGAGGAGGAGGCCCGAAGCAAGGCAGCGGAGAAGGCGCAAAGGGAGGCGGCGCTGAACAAGGCCATGATGCGGGAAGCATATGCCGCCCTGCAACGGCAGATGGAGGCCGCGCGGCGGGAAGCCGAAGCTCACGAGAGGATCGAGGAGGAGGCTCCGCCTCCTCCGAGGTTCCTCAAGGTGAGGACAGGTCTGTTTAGCGGACCGACGGGGCAGCAGCAACCCAAACAGGGTGAGGAGGCACCCTTATGGGAACGCCGGCACCCCGAGCCACCGCCGCAGCCACCGAGCACACAACAACCGACGCCCCCGCAGTCACCGCCACCAAAATCGCCACCGCCGAACGCACCGACACAACAGTCGTCGTCACGACAGGAGGAGGCACCGAAGGAGCCGCCACAGGAAGAGGCCCAGCGGCCCCAGTGGGGTGGTCCGGAGACCGCGGTGTGCGGGCCATTTGTGTCACAAAACGAGCACACGGCGGTAAGGAATGGCATGATATGGCACCACCAAGTTATCCACATAACGTGGGCGTCGGGACCCGCACCATCGGAAGCGCAGGAAGAACGGAAAGTATGGGTGGAGGAACCGGCCCCGCGAAGCAACGCGCGTGATCCACGACAGCACCGGAGGCAGGCCGAGGCCATGAGGGCAGAGGAGACGGCGTCGGAGGAGCGGGAGCCAGCGGCAGCGAAGGCACCGGCTGCGACGGCGACAGAGGCACCGACAGCGGCAGCAACGGAGGGGGGGGCAGCGACGGAAGAGGCGGCAGCGCCAGCGACGGCGAAGGCAACGGAAATACCGACGGCGGCGATGGAGGTACCGGCAGCGACGGTGACGGAGGTACCGGCAGCGACGGAGACGGAGGTACCGGCAGCGACGGTGACGGAGGTACCGGCAGCGACGGTGACGGAGGTACCGGCAGCGACGGTGACGGAGGAACCGGCAGTGCCAGCAATGACGACGGCGACGGAGGTACCGGCAGCGAACACGGAAAGCGAGAGGTGGGAGCGCGGTCCGTGGGTGTGGCCCTCACCTGCGAAAGACAAGCCTAGGCCTGTCCTAGTGCGGCAATCGTCGTGCCCGGATCCCAGGGCTGAGGTCGCCCGGCCGCAGCTGCAGAGACAGCAGTCGGTGGAGGAGCCGACGGGGAAGAACGTCCGCTGGCGACATGTGGATGTTGAAGAATGGCCGGAGGCAGTGGCTCGGGCGGTGGAAGGCACACGCCGGATCGGTCGACGCGTGAAGCGTCTCGTGAGGGTGCGCGGGGTGCGGTACCGGGTATCAGCATCGGCAAACCAGGTCGAGGTGTCCGTCGAGGCATGAAAGGGAGGAGGAAAAATTATGAATGAGATTAAAATGAATAAAAAAAATGAAGTACAACTTACCCCGGGGCATGGCAGCTTGATGGCGGGATAGGCGGGGGTTTAACACGCGAGGTATACAGAGCCCACGAGGGCAGCAACATAAAACTTACGCGAAAACGCGGCCGGCCAGCGTATACAATAGTTACCGCAAGCGGAAGCAACACGTGAAAAGGGGAGCGGTCCGGCAACACGTGAAGAGGGTCTGGCAGCACGATCAGAGGCGCACATATCGTGCACCTATCGTGCACGCAAAGCGCGCACCTATCGTGCACGCGAAGCGCGCACCTACCGGGAGAATCATGCACGGGGCTGGTTCCGGAACTGCATCGGCAGACCCGATCCGATAGATGGCGAACCGATCGGGCAGTGGAGGAACCAGTCCGGAACCAGCGCCCGCGCGCACGCTTGAATTCAAATGGGAAGGTGGCCGAGAGGGAAACGAAGGGAGTTTTCCTCTGGTAAAGAAAGGGGGAAGTGTGAGGAATGGAGTTTCCTCACAAGGGAACCAAGTAAGGGTTAAGGCGAGAATTCACGGCGAATTCACAAGAGAGTGAGAGCCGGGGTCCGTTAGAGTGGCAGGGCTCCAGTGCATGACCAGATATGGGCATGAGAGTATGCCTCCGGTACGAGCCCGTGGAGGGAGTCGGGAATGGAGGAGCCCGCAAGGAGCGGCGCTCACGTCAGGCTAGGAACGGCGGGAGCGGGCCGGCAGCGGTCCAGCGCATGACCATGTATGGACATGAGATCGCGCCACCAGCCCGGTCCCGTTAAGAACGTGAGGGAATCAGGCGAAGAGGCCGATGGCAGCGGTCCAGCGCATGTCCATGTATGGACATGAGATCACGCCACCAGCCCGGTCCCGTTAAGAACGGGAGGGAATCAAGCGAAGAGGCCGATGGAAAAGTACCAGCGGCGCACGGATTTACCGCTGTTGATAGGCAGAGGCGCGGACGCTAGCGTCGAAGCGAGGGTATAAGAGGAGCCCGGCAACAGTGAAGGAGGACAGTCAGTGGAGTGCGAGCAGCGAGGAAAAAGCGTGAACACAAGCGAGTGCGTGAGGACAACTGACAAGGAAAGTCGACGTGAGAGGCAAAGGAAGAACCAAAGTGACCCATCCAAGAGGCAGCAGTACGACCCGGCAAAGGGAACAAGGTCTGCGAGGTGCCAGAGGAAGGACGACAGGTACCGCTTCCGCAAAGGCGATCAAAAGCGACTCAGTGGGTGCGGAGTTGTGTGTGTAGATCAGGCGTGAGCCAGGTCGGACGCATAGCCACAGCACCAGCGAGGAGCCTGAGACGACAGCGAGAGAGCGTGTGAAACTGAAGAACGATCCATTTGTTGTATAGAACGTAAGATCCCATAAGTATAAGATACCAATAAAACATCCAAAACCAGTAATTAAACCCACCCGTGCATTCTTTCGTGTCTGTGAGGCAACATACAAATTTGTTGCAACGAACCGTCGGCCGCTGAGCCAGCCTCGCTGAGTTAGACGGACCGAAACAGTTCGTTACAGGACTCTTTGAGACCTAGAACAAAAGTAGCTAGAAATCCATCTCAAAAGATTAGGCGGGAATCCTAAAAGTACAAGGTAACTTGTAACCTTTAATAATAACGGTAACGTTTAATGATAAAAGTTTTGTGGTTTTTAATCGTCACCTTATAAATCCGTGCTGAGACGGAGATATAAGTGATTTGCAGAGATGTTGCAAATGCGGAGTTAAAATTTTTTCAACCATTTTAGGAATAGCGAATAACTTAGATATACCTCTATAATTATTTGCATCAGACTTGCTACCTTTCTTATGGAGCGGAATAATAAAAGATTCCTTCCAGATGGGGGGGAGCATGGATAAAGTTAATGGACACAAGAATCAAAAAATGTGTTAAGTACATTGTAAAAAATGTTTGTGCCTTTCATAACGTCAGTGCACAAATACAACCGGACCAATCAAAATCACTAATGAGGTTTATAAGCTTCGTAAACTCGGCTTTACGAAAGCAGCGGACAGGTGATGCTCGTATATTAAGATATCCGAGGAAGGTGGAATATACGAGCAGGTAATGAAAATGGAAAAGCCTGGGAGAATCAGTTTTACGCACAGGAATTCCAGGTCTTGTTGAACCTGGACCATGAAATGTTCCGACGTGAAGTTTGAGTCCACTGCAATAAGGACCCCACCTTTACGTCGAGACGAACGGTCATTTCTAAAAATTGTGTACCGACCTGCCAAAACTTCGGAACTAAGGATGTCCGGCTTTAACCAGGTCTCGGTGAACACAATAACGTGGGACGAGAATGCGAGACTCTCAAGGAAAAGAGTGCTGAGCTTACTACGCAAGCCTCTAGCATTCTGGTATGTAACTAAAAGACAGGAAGTTAGTTTTTTGGATGGGTAGAAGTAGAGGTGGAAGATGAGGATGGAGAAGTACCAATGGTCTGACTACTAGGAAGAGTGATGGGGGGCCTATTCTTTTTCTTAGCCTTCAAATCTCTAACCGCCAAATGCTCCGGCCAAAACTTGGCGGAACAATTGGTTTCAAATTGAGTTGGGGAGACGCTTATCTTGAAGGAAGATATCTCCCTGGCGTAAGAAAAGTTAAATTTTTCCACCTTTAAGCCGACGGCTTTTATTTTGCTTTGTATAAAAGCGGTCACATCATTGGATGTGAGGTCAGGGGCTAGCCGCGAGACAAAAACTTGTCGCTTTGGTGGGACTCCCACCAGAGGTTTTGGCACCATAGGCCTAGTACCTGTGATGGCAGTATCCGGTGGTCCTGGACATCTATTAGCTGGTGGGAGCGAAACTGAGGGGATAGTTAAGGGGTTGGGTGCGGACTCGATGAACACGCACTCTACAGACATTTCTAACTGCATACTCTCCGAAGTGACGCATTCGGCTCCCGAATCTGCATCACCAGCAGCGACCGTTGCCCTTGGAGTAGCAAACGTAATCAACTGCTGCACTAAGGGAGTGGTCGGAGTAAGTTTTTCAGATGCCGGCGGAAATGAGGCAGTCGGCACTTGCAAGTCCCGCGGAGTAGACTTCTTGCTCCTCGGAGACTCAGCCAGCAGCTGTATACTGCTGAACTGAGTGTTCATGGCCAAGAGCCGATCATATTGCTGTTTAAAGCCTACGATCAGCTCTTTGAAGCCACTCCGCGTCTGCCTCATGAACGAACGCATGTCGTTTTCCACAGCACGGCATTCCTCACAACTATAATGTAGGTTGTTGTCTTGGGAAATGGCGTCTCCTACACGGCCCGAGATCCGTACACATTTTGCGTGCACTACGCTTTCGCATAGCCAGCAGGGGATATTGGGCTAGTCATGGGTGATCTGCTTCTTGCAGGCTTTTTTGGCACAGACGACAGAAAATTCCATAATTATGTCTTTTATTTTTTTTTACTTCGTGGAAAAAAAAGTTCAAAACAAATAGCAATCAGACCACTGTGCAGAGCAAATGCTTAGAGCAATGCTTAAAGCGAAATCGGTAAAAGATGAGAGAGAAGAGTGGTTGCAGCAACAGCTTATAAGTGAGAGCGTTACTGAACAAAAAGTTACAAGAGCGAGAGCGAAAGAACAGTTATTGAGAGTTAGGTGATAGAGAGAGTGATAGACGGCAATAACTACGACAAAGAGCGGCTAAATGTAATGAGAGGGCGTACTTACGAAAAGCAACAACACAAACACACGACTAACCGACGCTCAAAATTTATTAAATAAGTTGTGTTTTTACACAATTATCAGGCATGCACCCGCGGTAAAAGTATGATTTTAATGTAAGTTAGTTAGAGAGTTAAATTATAGATAAAAAAAACACCGGCTGTTTAACTTATACAAAAGGAAAATGCGGAGCGCAAAACAAAAACACGTCTGGTCACTACGAAAAAGAACGAACGATTGTGTGCAATTTTTTTAGAAAACAATACAAAAAGGTATAAAAACAAATTCTATCATAAAATGTTCTGTTTTACAGAATGATACAAAATTAAATTAAATAGTCGTCCAAACACACTTTTGAACCAAATTTAAGTTTTTTTTTTTTGTTGATTAATTTTTAATTTTTGAGAAACTTAGTTATAGAAAAGTCCAAATTTATTTCTGCAAACCATGCCACGTTCTCTGAATATTTTTTTTCTTAAAATGTTGATCTCTTAAATGTGGGTATTTATTGTTTCAAATTTATTTAAATTTTTAGGTTTCTATATAAATACATAATTTTTGTTAAAATAATTTTATATTATTATTTTGTTTTGTGTGTTGGCGGCGAACTTCGCCTTTTTGCCAGAAAGTTGCCTGTGTGGGCACTCGTTTTTTCCATGTAGGTTTTATTATTATTATTCCAGCTCTTCGTTTTCTTCTCTCGTCTGATTATGCTTTTGTAGTTGTGGTTTTTGTTGCTGCTTTTTGCGCTGTTTCTCTTCCAGTCTGTCGATGCGTGCCCAAATGGCATTAGCAGTTACCCAGTCTCTGTTTACTTGATCCAGCAACATGGCCCGCTGTCGTCGAAATTTGGCGAGTTGACTTTCTCGTCGCCTGACTTTGGTAGTGCTGGGTATGGTGGTCAGCCGCTCCTCTTGAAGCCTTTTTCTGGCTAGGGCTTGGAGGGCGGCGGTCTGCTGCTGGGCACTTCCTTACCGCTGCCTGATGGCTTGTGCTCATCCTCGTTGAGTCCTTTTGCCATAGTAGGCAGTATCTGTTGCCGTATTTGGCAGGATCTGGTATTTTAATTATTATATCCGTACTCAAAAAAGAGATAAGGGGTATATTAGATTTGTGGTAAAAGTGAATGTGTGTAACGCAGAGAAGGAAACGTGTCCGACCCCATAAAGTATATATATTCTTGATCAGCATCAATATCCGAGTCGATATAGCCTTGTCTGTCTGTCCGTCTGTCTGTCTCGATAAGCGCCTAGATCTCAGAGACTATACAATTAAGGGCAACCAAGTTTGGT